ACAGTCCTAGACAGGCATGGGTGACTGGTGTAAGCACAGGCATCTGGCTGCAGCAGGGGGACACACACTAAGCAAGGCAGGGGGATGAGGGCCACCCCCGAGTGTCTGGGAGGAAAGTGTGTCCCTGTTCCCTAGAGTGCGTAGGTGGGTGGGTTTTGCAGCTGGACTACGAGCACCTAATGCTGTTGGCTGTAAGGACTGGGGGGCACCTCTTATTCATGGGCCCCTATCGCAGATGGCTAAGTGGAATGGGTGGAGCCACTAGTTCTCAGGCCCCTGATGTGGGTAGGTGAAGACCCTGCTTAATGGGCAGAGCAGTGTCAAAGGTCAAGCACCTGCCACTTCACAGCTGAAACAGCTGAAGTTAGGCTTCAGGTATATACCCTGTTTTACTTCAGTAATGTGGGCCTACGGTATTGAAACAGGCCCACACAAGTCTATGCAGGGGGAAAGGCACTCAAAGTCCGTGGATCCCTTATGCCTGTGCCTAGGCAAGCGAGCTGTGTCTACCCTGGGTTTCTGGCCTAGGGGAGCTGGCAGTTTATTTTTTTCCCTGTTTGTTAATTTGTTCCCTCTCCAAGGCAGAGAGAATGGCTCCAGGTGGGTGATGGATCCTACTTCAGGCCCAGGGGACACGGCAATTGCCGAAGCCAGTCCAGGACCCAGTGCAGAGCAGGGAGCGTGGAGGTCAATGGGAAAGAGTTTTTTCTCTAAGGGGTGTGTTTTTGATCTGTGCAGTAGGCCATATGCAAGTACTTATCTTTTGCAGGTCCAGGGCTGCTTCTCACTGGTTCTGTGGCTGTGTAGACACTCTGGCGCTGGGTCTTTCCTGGTGGGGAAAATGCACCTCCGGAGCACCACTGCTTGCCTGCCTCACTGCTCACCCCCGAGCTGATCAGGCCTGAAGGGCTCAGGCTCTTGCTGGGTCAGTTCTGGCAGCTTCTCACTGCTTCTGAACCATCTCTTCCTCCCCCTGCCACACAGTGTGGTTCCTCAATTGCCCCATTGAAGTTCAGGGCTCCCAGACTGCCATATATAATCAATTCACTTGTTTTTTCTGGTCTTTGTTGTAAGAGGGTCCACTGGAAGCATCTGACTACTCTGCCGTCTTGGCCCTGCCCTAGAATTTATATTTCTAACAAATTCCTAGGTGATGCTGATGTTCCTGATCTGGGGACTGCATTCTGAGAACCACTGGTATAGAGGAAGAGAACTACCTGAGAATGACCAATGAAAGAATTTTGTGAATCACAGTTTGATATCAAGCCATGAGCCTAGAAACTTGGTGTTTTGGCTCTCCTTTTTATTTGAGAAGCTTTACGTTATTACTGATTACATAAGCAAGACCAAGCAAAAAAACAGCTGCTTTGATTTGGACTCATGGTGACCCCATGTGGTCTCACTAGAACTGTGCTCTACAGGGTTTTCATGGCTGTGACCTTTCTGAAGTAGATTGCCAAGCCTTTCTTCTGAGGGGCCTCTGGGTGAGTTTGAACTGCTAACCTAAGGAGTTCCATAAGAAAGGCAATAGGGTGATAAAGGCAGTTATATTTCTAGAACAATTTCACCAGCTTCAGAGATACCTGTCATTCCATGTTCTAGAAGGAACAATTTAACATCAAATGCAAGTGACTGTCATGAAATGATTTCCCCCACAATCTTAGGGTTCTGAGTACTAGAGGGCTATTTTCTTCTCCATCTAGTATTGTTTAAATAGAGAAGAGAATAAACCAATCAGTGGATCAGGAAGAAGCAAAGTCACAGATGTAACGGTAAGAAATAGGCTCTGTATATCACCAAAAGTGAATGAGAGAAAATTGTGAATCTCAATTTTGTGCAAGTACTTATATAAAATTCATATCACCTATCATCAGGGATATGGTGTTCCACGTTAGAAAACTTTTCAGATACCTGAAAATTCTAGTTGTTTTTTACTTTAAGGAGTAGGACACTTTTATTTTAACCATGCTAGATGAGAATCTTCTGAAATATACACCTCTCTGCCTTCTAAAATAGAAAAAATGAGTAAGTTTAATTTTTCTTTGATGACTGAGGATTATTATCATGAACTTTTATTAATGTACTGGAAGTTCAAGGTTATTGAGGTGTTTAAGGCTATTTGCCTCTATTAGACAAATGACTAACCAATCAGTTGAATTTGTTTCCTCCCTTTTAGTTATTTTCTCTCCAAATTCTAGAGTCATCCCTCTGCCCTGCCCACCAACTTCTAATTTGAGGTTGGATAATTTCTAAGGTCATTTCTAACTTAGAATTCTGTAGTTAAGACTCTACCATAAAGTAAGGAGAATTCCGGTGTCTTAACTTGTTTACCAACAACAACAGCAAACCAAACTGGTTGCCATCAGGTTGATTCTGACACATAGTGAGACTATATAACAGAACAGAATTTTCCCATAGGGTTTCTAAGGTTGTAATCTTTACAGAAGCAGACTGCCAGATCTTTCTCCTGCAGACATGATGGTGGGTTTGAACCGCCAGCCTTTTGGTTAGCAGCTGAACATTTTAATCACTGGACCATCGAGGCTCCTTAAACTTGTTTAATCTTCCCTAAATATTTCACATTAGGAGACTTTCAGCCAACATGGCACTAGAGACAAAAGCACCACGCTGTCCCTCCACAGCAAAGAACTGAAAAACTAAGTCAAACAGAGACAAACGTCAACCCTGAAACCCTAAGCATCAAATGAAGAGATAAAGAACTCAGCTAAGCACTGAATGGCATAAGAAATTGACAGAGAACAGAGAGCAAGGAGAGATATGCACGGAGGTCTCCTATTAGCTAATGCAGCATGGATTCACCATCTTGGACTCCTGTTGGAGATCGGTGAACAAAGAGTATGGGAAAGTAGCTTCATGGAGCTTCCAGCAGGAGACAGAACAACCAGTAACCAGCGATATACCCTTTCCCACCCCCACCCTTCTCCGTCCCCACTCAGCCTCCTCTACTTCCTGCGGCCACAGTCTCTTGGCTGGGGGCACCAGCTTCAGCCCTGTGCTGCTTGGATTCCACTCGCCCACACTGGCCAGCTGCCTGAGTGCCATATGCTGTTGCTAGTGTTGCTTTTTTCCACTTCTTCTGGTTTCTTCCACGTCTCTCACCATCTCCCCCTCCTTTCTCTCAAGTACCTGGCTCTGTCTGCCATCTTTGCTTCTTCCTGAAAGGCTGTGAAATGCCACTCAACTGTGGAACTCCTTCCTGGCCTTGTGGGATCCCCGGGGCTTTTTTTGTTTGGTTATTTGTTTTGATTTGTTCTGTTTTGATTTCTTTGTTTTCTTTTTCTTTTCTTGGCTTGGGAGCCCCTTCTAGCCAGGCAGTACTGTGTGGCTTGGGAACTACTTCCTCAGTCTGTGCAGCTGAGCAGTGGGATCTCTGGAGGCATTTCTTTTCTCTTTTTTTATTTTCTCTCTTTTTCCCTTTTTGTTTTTCTTCATTTCTCAGTTTCTCATCTCTCGATACTTACCTTCTCTTCCTGTCTCCTGAATACCTGGCACTGTGTGACACCTCTACTCCTTCTAGCCATGCTGTAATTCGCTGCCTGGGAGCCACTTCCCTAGTCTTTGCAGTCACACTGGTGGGATCCCTGGGAACTTTTCCTTTTTTTCTCTCCTTATTTTTATTTATTTTTCTTTTACCCTTTTTCTTTTTTTTCCCTCCATTTGTTGGTCTCTCATCTCTCTACCCCAATGGCAAGCTCCCTTAGCACTCTTTTTTGTTTGTTTTTGCCTCCTGTTTCTCTCTCTCCTCTTTCCCATACTCATCACACTTCACAGTCTCTCTCCTCCTTCCTGCCTACATGCACCATGCGCTGAACATCACACCCCCAAGCAGCACAGGCATGGCCAATCAAGACCTGCCCTGCATTGATTCCCAGCCTGCCCTATCGGCCCTAGTACATGCCACAAACAACCCATCCCAGCCACCTCCCTTCAGCTGGACCTGACCTGCTGCACAATAGCTGAGTGACTGACCCTGCCCATTGGACAAGGTGGTGAAAAGTATCATGCCCACAGACAAGCAAGCAACAAAGAACACACAGCCTGCCTGCTCAGACATAACCAAATAAAACAAAAAAGCAGGATGAAACAAATCTACAATCAATAAATGAGGAAAATAACTACTGAATGTCCAGAAGACATCAGACAATATCAAAACATATACAAAACAAGACAGGATGGTTCCAGTAGGCATCCAAAATAAAACACCAGATGATTTTCCAGCAGAAGAAAAGGCACTAGAACTACCTGACAGGGAATTAAAATCTCTAATATTCAGAGCTACCCAAGAGTTGAAGCAAAAATCAGACAAGAATGAGGAAAAATTGACAAAAAGGAAATAAATGATGTAAGTATAGAACCTTCTAATGGAGAGGAAGGCAAGGTGATACCGAGTAATAATAGACTGACTCAAACCTCGGAAGATAAGGGTAAATTTCAAGGTAACCACAAAGAAAGTTAACAAACCTACTCATCAAAATAAAGAAGAAAAACATAAAGTCTCAGTAAAAACAAAACGTACAAAAACAAAAGAAATGAAAAAAATCCACAAACAAAAGGAACTCAGCACAGGAGAGTAAGAGGAACAAAGAAAACATCAGTACCTAAATATTTCACATTATTATAAACATTTACTTATAAAGTTACACACACAGGTTTTGTGACAGCTATTTTCTCCTAAAGCCAAAAAAAACCGTTGCTGTAGAGTGGATTCAACTCATGGTTACCCCATGTGTGTCAGAGTAGAACTGTGTTCCATAGGGTTTTCAATGGCTGTTTTTTCAAAAGTAGATCACCAGGCCTTTCTTCCAAGGAGCCTCTGTGTGGTCTCTAATTACCAACCTTTTGGTTAACCAAGTGCATTAACCATTTGTGCCATCCAGGGCATATTTTCTCCCAGATAATTTTAAAAAATTTAAAAAATCATCTAGAATTATATCAATTCATTCATAAAACTATGCAGACATATTGGATTTAAAACTCACCTACAAGAGTCTGGTCAGTGGCCTTGGGAAATCTGCTTTCTTCATCAAGCAGGGACAGTAAACCCATTGGCTTCTGCAGGAACATGTCTAAGAGGGGCTGGTTATCTTCGTATTCAATAACTCTGGCATCAATATCTTCATGTAAGTATTCATTCTATAACAGGTCACAATACATATAGAAAAATTTGCTTAAAGTTGTGTAAATAATATTAGCTTGATAAAACCAAAAAGAAAGAAAACCAAACCCATTGCTGTCAAGTCTGACTCATAGTGACCCTATAGAACAGAGTAGAACTGCCCCATAGGGTTTCCAAGGAAGGGCACATGGATTCGAACTGCTGGCCCTTTGGTTAGCAGTTGAGCTCTTTGTTGCTGAGCTACCAGAGCTCCCGCTTGATAATAGTTACCTAAAAATTTACTTTACATATATTATAACAAATTTCTTTCTATGACCTTGCCCTTAAATTGAAGGTATCATTTTATTTTTCTCTCCTCACAACTGCTCTCTCATTAAAGTCAGCTCTGGTTATACTCAGTTTAGTAATAAAAGAAATTCTAGTCTCTCTGCTAGAATTGCAGACATCTCAAGCTTTCAAGATGAGGGAGAATGTAGTATTAATGCATAATAATAACACTATGCTCCAGAATTTATAGAATATTAATTAGATTTATTTTAGGGTTATACTTTCACAATTCAAGAAATACCACTGGATTTCTCAAAAACACATCACTTTTCAGTCATGGTGACATTTACATGGTTAGTTGGGTGGACACAGGAATAACCAACAGATTTAGAGCCAAGAAATATAGGTTCAAATCTGGGCTCTGCCACTTAACTAGCCAGATTATCTTTTGAAATTTTCATAGTCTATAAGGTTCCATTTTTTCATCTATTAAATGGGAGTAACAATCCCCACCTTACAAAGTAAAAACATCTGGTACGTTAATAATCATTTGCTATTGAGTATGTCATAATAAAAGATGTGTAAAATAAAAACAGTGCATAACAATTACTGTAGGGTCGTGGTGTCCAGCACAACATAGGTGCTAATGATTTATTTCACAAAAGGGACAAGCAGACTTGTGCTACAGCTTTGTTTCTATGACTTTGTCTTCACACTGCTTCTCCCACCCAAGAGCCCTAGTCTGTAAAAGAGAGGTTATACACAATTTCTGAACTATGCCTTGTAGCAATACTTGCATGTAGGAGCCTAACTGTTTTCTCAGCAATGGGTAAATAGTCCCTGGGTAGTGCAAACTCTTAAGTGCTTAGCTGCTAACAGAAAGGTTGGAAATTCAAGTCCATCCAGAGGTGCCTCAGAAGAAAAGCTTGGTGATCTACTTCCGAGATATCAGCCATTGAAAACCCTATCCAGCACAGTTCTACTCTGACACGCATGGGGTTGCCATGAGTCAGAATTGACTTGACGTCAACTTTATTTTTTTTTTATATCAAATAATCATGGCTTGGGGAAAACTTCTTGCACGTATTAAAATTACAGACTACTTCAATTATTATTTTAATGTAGCCTTTAATTCATTAAATATATTAATTGAACACCTTATAAGGCACTGTACTGGGTAATAAAGAGATGTTTAAAGTAAGCTCTTTATCTTCAGGGGATTTAAAATACAATTCGAGTATAAGATTAGTAAATGAATACTTACAATGCAAAGTAACATATAATGTTATGCACAAGAATTCAGAGAAAGAAAACATTTCTGACAACTTCATGAAGGAATTTAGCCAATGTCTGGTGGGACATTGGATAAGTTGAAACTTTTAATCACTACAGTAGGAACCTTATAAAGATGAAGCCTCATTTCAAAGGTGTCACCAGGAAAAATAAATGTATATGTGTGCATATATATTTCCTGGGTGGTGCAAACAGTTAGCACGTTCGGCTACTAACTGAAAGGTTGGAGGCTTGCTTCTACCCAGAGGCGCCTCAAAAGAAAAGCCTGGTGATTTACTTCTGAAAAATCAGCCATTGAAAAGCCTACTAGCACAGTTCTACTCTGACACATGTGGGGTCGCCATAAGTCAGAACCAACTCAGCAGCAACTGGTATATACCTATATATATATTTTTTAATTTCAAGTATTTATTTTTATCTTTAATTTTGCTCTTACTTTGAAAAGAAAGCCTAACCCTGGTTTACATGTGAGTTTGGCTGGACATATGTTCTCAGCAAGCAGGCTAATGATAATGCTGCAGACCAGTAGAACTGTGTTCATAACCATATATGAAATTAGACAAGGGGATCAAAATGAGCTAAAGAATTGACGGTATCATATACCACTGTCCTTTCCTTTAGCACATTGTGAACATGTGGAGGAGCTCTGGTGGTGCAGTGGTTAAGAGCTACAGCTGCTAACCAAAAGTTCGGCAGTTCGAATCCACCAGCTGCTCCTTGAAAACCCTATGGGGTAGTTCTACTGTGTCCTGTAGGGTCGCTATGAGTCAGAATCGACAGCAATGGGTTTGTTTTTGTTTTTTTGAACATGTGGATATATATATGTGTACGTATTATATATATATGTGTACGTATTATATATATATGTATACGTATGTATATATATATATGTATACTTATGTATACATATATATACCTCCATGCATTTGTCAGTTTGTCATACTGTGAGGGCTTGCATGTTGCTGTGACCAGAAGCCATGCCACTGGTATTCAAATACTAGCGGGATCGCCCATGGTGGACAAGTTTCAGCCAAGCTTCCAGACTATGGCAGACTAGGAAGAAGGATCTGGCAGTCTACTTCTGAGAAAACCTAGCCAGTGAAAACCTTTTGAATAGCAATGGAACACTGTTTGACATAGTGTTAGAAGATCAGCCCCTCAGGTTGGAAAGCGCTCAAAATACGACTGGGGAAGAGCTGCCTCCTCAAAGTAGAGTCGACCTTAATGACGTGGATGGAGTCAAGCTTTCAGGACCTTCATTTGCTGATGTGGCACAACTCAAAATAAGAAGAAATAGCTGCAAACATCCATTAATAATCGGAATGTGGAATGTATGAAATATGAATCTAGGAAAATTGGAAATTGTCAAAAATGAAATGGAACACATAAATGTCGATATCCTAGGCATTAGTGAGCTGAAATGGACTGGTACTGGCCATTTTGAATCGGACAATCATATGGTCTACTATGTCAGGAATGACAACTTGAAGAGGAATGGCATTGCATTCATCATCAAAAAGAACATTTCGAGATCTATCCTGAAGTACAATGCTGTCAGTGATAGGATAATATTCATATGCCTACAAGGAAGACCAGTTAATATGACTATTATTCAAATTTAAGCACCAACCACTAAGGCCAAAGATGAAGAAATTGAAGATTTTTACCAACTTCTGCAGTCTGAAATTGATCGAACATGCAATCAGGATGCATTGATAATTACTGATGATTGGAATGAAAAAGTTGGAAACAAAGAAGAAGGATCAGTAGTTGGAAAATATGGCCTTGGTGATAAAAATGATGCCAGAGATTGCATCATAGAATTTTGCAAGACCAACAACTTCTTCATTGCAAATATCTTTTTTCAAAACATAAACAGTGACTACACATATAGACCTCGCCAGATGGAATGCACAGGAATCAAATCAACTACATCTGTGGAAAGAGATGATGGAAAAGTTCAGTATCATCAGTCAGAACAAGGCCAGGGGCCTACTGTGGAAGACAGTATCAATTGCTCAAGTGCAAGTTCAAGCTGAAGCTGAAGAAAATTAGAAAAGTCCACAAGAGCCAAAGTATGACCTTCAGTATATCCCACCTGAATTTAGAGACCATCTTAAGAATAGATTTGACCCGCTGAACACTAATGATCAAAGACCAGACAAGTTGTAGAATGACATCAAAGGCATCACACATGAAGAAAGCAAGAGGTCATTAAAAAGACAGGAAAGAAAGAAAAGACCAAAATGGATGTCAGAAGAGATTCTGAAACTTGCTCTTGAATGCCAAGTAGCTAAAGCAAACAAAAGAAATGATGAAGTAAAAGAGCTGAACAGAAGATTTCAAAGGGTGACTCAAGAAGACAAAATAAAATATTATAATGACGTGTGCAAAGACCTGGAGTTAGAAAACCCAAAGGGAAGAACATGCTCAGCATTTCTCAAGCCAAAAGAATGGAAGAAGAAATTAAGCCTCGAGCTGCAATACTGAAAGATTCTGTGGGTAAAATACTGAACGATGCAGGAAGCATCACAAGAAGATGCAAGGAATACACAGAGTCACTGTAGCAAAAAGAATCAGTTGACGTTCAATCATTTCAGGAGGTAGCATATGATCAAGAGCCAATGGTATTGAAGGAAGAAGTCTAAGCCGCACTGAAGACATTGGCAAAAAACAAGGCTCCAGGAATTGATGGAATACCAGCTGAGATGTTTCAACAAATGGATGCAGTGCTGGAAGTGCTCACTTATCTATGCCAAGAAGTTTGGAGCAGAGCTACCTCGTCAACAGACTGGAAGAGATCTATATTTATTCCTATTCCAAAGAGAATTGATACAACTGAATGTGGAAATTGATGAATAATATCATTAATATCACAAGCAACTAAAATTTTGCTGAAGATCATTCAAAATCAACTGCAGCAGTACATCCACAGGGAACTGCCAGAAATTCAAGCAGGATTCAGAAAAGGATGTGGAACCAGGAATATCATTGCTGATGTCAGATGGATCCTGGCTGAAAGCAGAGAATACCAGAAAGATGTTTACCTGTGTTTTATTGACAAAGCAAATGTATTCGACTGTGTGAATCATAACAAATTATGATGACATTGTGAAGAATGGGAATTCCAGAACACTTAACTGTGCTCATGAGGAACCTGTACATAGATCAAGAGGCAGTTGTTCCAACAGAACGGGCGGGAACTGCACGGTTTAAACTCAGGAAAAGTGTGTGTCAGGCTTGTATCCTTTCACAGTACTTATTCAATCTGTGTGTTAAGCAAATAATCTGAGAAGCTGGACTATTTGAAGAAGAGCAGGGCATCAGGATTGGAGGAATACTCATTAACAACCTGAGATACGCAGATGACACAACCTTGTTTGCTGAAAGTGAAGAGGACTTTAAACACTTACTGACGAAGATGAAAGATTACAGCCTTCAGTATGGATTACAATTC